TATTGTCTCCGTTCTTGTTTTCCACCTAAATCAGTGACCTGTCTGCGAGTTCTCCAGCCCAATTATTTAAATATACTGATGACGTAGCCCTCTGCCAAGCCATTTCTGTGCCTGAGGATCTTTTACATTTCTCGAATAATCTATCGCATATTTATGAATTTTCCATTCGTTCTGGACTGTCTCTTAATTTAGCCAAGTGCTTCGAATGCACTTTCTCCCTTTCTTGATCTGTTTATCCTCGTGAGCCGTCTGTCATAAATACAGATCCCCTAACTAAAGTTGATTCTGTGACGTATCTGGGAGTTACAATTGACACTAACTTAAACAGGACATCCCATATTTACAACGCTGTACCGAAACTTCGCAGGTTATCTTTTCAACTTCGAAGACTTAGGCAGTTCAATACCAAGCAAAAATTCATTTCACTTTTTGTTTATCAATGTGTTTTCCTCGTTCTTATTTATTGTTCCCCTGTCGTTTTTGATGGTCTACTAAAAAAAGACTTCAAAATTCTTCGTCGAGGTTTGTCGATCATTAGTCGTGTGTCTTTTATACCCGTTGATGAGCTATCTAAAAAACTGTGTGAACTTCACTTGTCCGCATGTGAAACGTTTGCCCAGAAAATCCTCGCTGACCCCAACCATCCTTTACATGGTGATTTATCTAAATGCTGCTCTCATACGTCTACACGTTTTTCTTATCGATTATTACCCTCTCGCATTAGTCTTTACAGAAATTCCCCAGTTACCTATCTCGCCGGAATCCTTGGAAACCGAGAGCGCGCTTGTTCAGAATTTCTCAGTAACCTTAAAGGCTAAATATTTTACTTGTATCTTTCCTTCTATTGATGAGATGTGTAATTTTTGACTGAGATGCGAACATTCTGTTCTCGCAAAGTCTATACAAATACAAATATAATGCTTCACCGTTTAGAATTACACGCCCCACTCTCAGCACATCGGAGTAGTTTGTCTTACATGGTGTCCAGATGCTGTGAACTGAGGGACTAGAAACCGGTCGTTTCGACTTGGCCGAGTTTTGCTAGCAATGCGGTCCCACTGACTCAACTGAAGACCGAGGTAACCCGGCACTCGGAAGAGATAGAACGCGCGTAAACCTCCCCTGTTGACCTGACTGTTTTACATTTTTTCGAAAATGAAAACGAAATAGAACAACCAATCTGTATTCGCATGTTGCGAGTATCCAATCTCGCTCCTCTCATCACTAGCTTCCTTCCTTTTATTCAATACACAATGATACAAATTTCAGGAAGGGGGGAAGCGATCAATCAAAGGGATGCTATACAACACACAAATGGGGAAGGTCAATGGTGGTGGGATTCGAATACACGTCCTCCGGGGTGATAATTTGGTGATGTTCCCATCTGGCTACCGCCGCCTAGATAGGAAGCATTCTGAAAGGAACTGACTGTTCCGTGGACAAAGTTGACGAATTTCGAGATTTAGGTTTAGTTGAGAGAATTTCCCAATGAATTCCTATGAGCTACTTTAAAGACTTTATCTTTTCTATGCACACGGAATGTTCGTTCAGAATTATATTGATGGTTAAAGAGGGAGACCGGGCGCCGTCAAATATCTTTATTCCAAGAATGATTAAAAACCAGTTAGCCGATCGAATCATCCAATGTCCTTTATACAAGCTATGTTTTGATATCATTTTATTACTCTCCCTGGTTTATCCAAGTTCACAGTATCCCTAATTCCATCCAACCAAATTTATCTGTTTAACGAAAAAGCATAAATTTGCAGCTCACTATTAGTTTGGATATTCTACTCATAAGGCACAGCACATAGCACAACGCGCTATAAACCCCTAGCGGTAGTTAACGATGATTCTTCATAGTTTAGCTCCGATAGTTTGCAAACGCGGTCTGGTTAACAGGCCCCTTCAGGGTCCGGAATAATCGGTCAGTGGTCTGGGTGGTGTGGTATATTTATGCTGTCTTAAAATAGAACATCCACATCACCATCATCATCATCATCATCATCATCAACATCGATTCGACGATTGTGAAATGAATGGTAATTGTACATAAAGGAAGTCACATGTGAGAGCAGATCACTGGTGATCATACCATGCTGTTCAATGAATAAACTACGAGTCCGATCGGACTGCAATTGTAAAAAAGAGGTAAAGTTAATTTAAATTCGAAAGTGCATTCACTATTGGGACGGGTTCGACGGTAAAAATGTGTCCTGAGTCCTCACTTGCTGAACTCATGTATAGAATTCTAATTCAATTCCAACCGAAGGTAAGTTTTCATCGCACACGAGGATAACTCATGATCAGTAAAAACGATCCGATAGTTAACGTGAACGGGTAACTTGTATTCCTCCACAGGGAGAATCCACCGTAATAAAAGTATTTTTATTTGAAGATTGTACTTAGACTGGCATAGTCCGTATAGACACTGAGGTTCCTTGATTGGCTGTATCTTTGCGGAATGAAACAAGTTTTCCGTGTCAAGAGTTGGTCTGTTTTCCTACTGAAATTTTTCCATGGATGACTTCTCATTGCTGCCTACAGAATGATATTGATTGACTGTGTGGAATCATTCGGATGTGGGGTCTACTGCATACAGATTTTCCGATTTCCCATGTCATATCAATTAAGTCATGTGTTAGATTTTCGATTAACCAGAGGAGTATATGGATTGTTTCCGATCACTTCGACCGCGGTACTAATTGTAGATTTTTAGTAGTCCATTCAAACAAAACACATCGTTCAGTTATTCCGCTGAACATCTTTCGATTTGATACCAAAAACCTAGGCGCAGACAATGGTATGGATGAGGATTACAGGTTCAAGAATAACGAGATCATACTGTTAAGACACGCTCATCAAAACACGTGACTTGTGACCTGATGAATTCATCCAACCGGTAACGATAAAAATCATCCGGCCGACAGATTAATGTTGAGCGGAAATGCAAGATCATGGTAAAAACATGATAACAGAAGAATAGAATCGTGAGCAAAACATAAAGAGAATTGACCATGTACTAAATTGATTCGGTCAAGTCGGTTGGACGAAAGTGTCATAATTGTATATGAACCGCCTTTTGGGTTCCTACAAATTGTTTTGGAAAGCATACATTTGGTTCGTTTAGACCGATTACAATCGGAGTTGGATGCCTCCTGTAAGAGGACGTGCCCATTTCATAAATGTGTGGAGCATTGGAGTGAAGTCCAATGGGACTTCTCCGACTCCTACCATTCAAGGAAGATTCGATAATGAGAGGCGAATTCAATTGTCTTTCGGGTGTGACTAAACCCGGGACATGATTCACATTGTATTTCTCTTCTTGCTGACTGAAACGACATTGCTCGAAGATTGTTATGTTTGTCAATTTGTCTCCTTTTGTAGAGCAGCCGTATTGATCAAAGGTCTTTGGGAGCGCATCAGAGCGCATCACAATGGCTGGCTGTATCATGAAATGATAAGGAGAGTATCAGCAGCAATTACCAATCATGTATATTCAAGATGAAACACGGTCTGATCAGCTGTTCGGTGGCCGAGTGATTGCGTTCTGCCTGCGAGGTCTGGGATTCGATCCCCAGTTGAGTAGAACGATTCACACTGCTGAGGAGATCCAACCGAGTCGAAACAACGGCCCAATGTTTCCCGGTTTTTCAGTTCACGTTTCACTTAAATGAGGAATTCATCAGATCAACAAT